AAAATTCACTCTACAACTGGATGGAAACAAGACTACTAGCGCTCATCATCAGAGGAGACGTTCGCGTCTGTTACCGAGGCTTTCCAGCAACAAGCCCCTACTTGGGAGCGACTACGTATGCTGTGTTTTTGGGAAAATGTAGTCGGTGAGTTTACTACGTTATTTTACTACTTCTGTGATTTTACTACTACTTCCTGTTATCTTCTTCGTCATCTTTTTCGCCAGTAGAAACAGCCGGTTGTTGATCACGTGACTCCCGCCATGCGAAAAAAGTGTTTCCATTGCAAATTTGTGAAAAACACCAATTTCGATACGTCCAAAATACCACCTCATCCTAGCGCAAAAACATTTTGTCAAAAAACATAATTTTTTTCTAAATTGACGTGTTTCCATTGAGCAAATTTATTTTCAAAAATCTAATTTGCGCATTTTCATGGTCAATGGAAACCAAGCTACTGTGATGGCCTTAGTCACTGTAATCTCTGCGATACATTTGCTCATGTAGAAAATGTAGTGTTTCTGTTTATTCTTGAATGTTGTTGTGTTATCACTGGTGTCCGCTTGTTTAAAAATTAGTCCAGTCTGCATTTTTAAAGCAGTTCTGTGGTGCTAACTAGCTAACCCTCTGGCCTCACCCTTATTTGCTTCTGAACTAGCCTGGTGACTTTAACACTTGACCTGTACGCTGGCATTCGCACAACAATGATGTTTGTGATCAGAGGCACCAACGTGCTGTAAGCTGTGTAGCCTCAGTCCTGTGTGTTGTTTCCCTGTTTTGAAAAGTCAATATATTGATGCATCTGGGAAAACCCAGACTTAAGATCAGTATGGCTAAAATCCACATCTACAATGAGAAAGTCACCTGAACAAGCTGTCTGATGGTCACTGATGGCATTGCACAGTTTAGCCATTTTATCGTCCTACCTGCTGGGGGGTTGATAAAAAGGTCAACACTTGAGAATCATTACCTCTGCCAGGGGTGAACAGTGATGCCAAATAAGAACAGCATTTTATCACCTTTGGTTTTTTTTTTTTTTTTTTTTTTTTTTTGCTGTTTATGCCTGATTATAACTTGACATGATAAAGAAAACATTTTTTTTACCTGTGGGACCACATCCTGCAGGAAGGTGACAACACTTTCCATGTACGACTGCTCCCTGTAAGAACAAGAAACGTGTCAAAAAATCTTCAAGGACTTTAAAGGGATCCCTGATTAGTTGTAACATTAGACTTTATTTGATAAAAAATTATTTAAACGGTAAAATAAAGACTCAAAAATAGTGTATGATGTTTTGCTTGGTAAATTTTTTAATATACAGTGGTTTGCAAAAGTATTCATACCCCTTGAACTTTTCCATATTTTGTCACATTACAACCACAAACATAAATAT